CTGTATAAAGCTATTAGAATGTCTAAGATATACTCTATATATATATCTATACAGGGGCCTGTATAAAGCTATTAGAATGTCTAAGATATACTCTATATATATATCTATTACAGGGCCTGTATAAAGCTATTAGAATGTCTAAGATATACTCTATATATGTATCTATTACAGGGCCTGTATAAAGCTATTAGAATGTCTAAGATATACTCTATATATATATCTATTACAGGGCCTGTATAAAGCTATAAGAATGTCTAAGATATACTCTATAGATGTATCTATTACAGGGCCTGTATAAAGCTATTAGAATGTCTAAGATATACTCTATATATGTATCTATTACAGGGCCTGTATAAAGCTATTAGAATGTCTAAGATATACTCTATATATATATCTATTACAGGGCCTGTATAAAGCTATTAGAATGTCTAAGATATACTCTATATATGTATCTATTACAGGGCCTGTATAAAGCTATTAGAATGTCTAAGATATACTCTATATATGTATCTATTACAGGGCCTGTATAAAGCTATAAGAATGTCTAAGATATACTCTATATATATATATATCTATTACAGGGCCTGTATAAAGCTATTAGAATGTCTAAGATATACTCCTCAATGTATCTATTACAGGGCCCGTATAAAGCTATTAGAATGTCTAAGATATACTCTATATATGTATCTATTACAGGGCCTGTATAAAGCTATTAGAATGTCTAAGATATACTCTATAGATGTATCTATTACAGGGCCTGTATAAAGCTATTAGAATGTCTAAGATATACTCTATATATGTATCTATTACAGGGCCTGTATAAAGCTATTAGAATGTCTAAGATATACTCTATATATATATCTATTACAGGGCCTGTATAAAGCTATAAGAGTGTCTAAGATATACTCTATAGATGTATCTATTACAGGGCCTGTATAAAGCTATTAGAATGTCTAAGATATACTCTATATATATATATCTATTACAGGGCCTGTATAAAGCTATAAGAATGTCTAAGATATACTCTATATATATATATCTATTACAGGGCCTGTATAAAGCTATTAGAATGTCTAAGATATACTCTATATATATATCTATTACAGGGCCTGTATAAAGCTATAAGAGTGTCTAAGATATACTCTATAGATGTATCTATTACAGGGCCTGTATAAAGCTATTAGAATGTCTAAGATATACTCTATATATGTATCTATTACAGGGCCTGTATGAAGCTATAAGAATGTCTAAGATATACTCTATATATGTATCTATTACAGGGCCTGTATAAAGCTATTAGAATGTCTAAGATATACTCTATATATGTATCTATTACAGGGCCTGTATAAAGCTATAAGAATGTCTAAGATATACTCTATAGATGTATCTATTACAGGGCCTGTATAAAGCTATTAGAATGTCTAAGATATACTCTATATATATATATCTATTACAGGGCCTGTATAAAGCTATTAGAATGTCTAAGATATACTCTATAGATGTATCTATTACAGGGCCTGTATAAAGCTATTAGAATGTCTAAGATATACTCTATATATGTATCTATTACAGGGCCTGTATAAAGCTATTAGAATGTCTAAGATATACTCTATATATATATATCTATTACAGGGCCTGTATAAAGCTATTAGAATGTCTAAGATATACTCTATATATGTATCTATTACAGGGCCCGTATAAAGCTATTAGAATGTCTAAGATATACTCTATATATGTATCTATTACAGGGCCTGTATAAAGCTATTAGAATGTCTAAGATATACTCTATAGATGTATCTATTACAGGGCCTGTATAAAGCTATTAGAATGTCTAAGATATACTCTATATATGTATCTATTACAGGGCCTGTATAAAGCTATAAGAGTGTCTAAGATATACTCTATAGATGTATCTATTACAGGGCCTGTATAAAGCTATTAGAATGTCTAAGATATACTCTATATATATATCTATTACAGGGCCTGTATAAAGCTATAAGAATGTCTAAGATATACTCTATATATATATATCTATTACAGGGCCTGTATAAAGCTATTAGAATGTCTAAGATATACTCTATATATGTATCTATTACAGGGCCTGTATAAAGCTATAAGAATGTCTAAGATATACTCTATATATATATATATCTATTACAGGGCCTGTATAAAGCTATTAGAATGTCTAAGATATACTCTATATATATATATCTATTACAGGGCCTGTATGAAGCTATAAGAATGTCTAAGATATACTCTATATATGTATCTATTACAGGGCCTGTATAAAGCTATTAGAATGTCTAAGATATACTCTATATATGTATCTATTACAGGGCCTGTATAAAGCTATAAGAATGTCTAAGATATACTCTATAGATGTATCTATTACACGGCCTGTATAAAGCTATTAGAATGTCTAAGATATACTCTATATATATATATCTATTACAGGGCCTGTATAAAGCTATTAGAATGTCTAAGATATACTCTATAGATGTATCTATTACAGGGCCTGTATAAAGCTATTAGAATGTCTAAGATATACTCTATATATGTATCTATTACAGGGCCTGTATAAAGCTATTAGAATGTCTAAGATATACTCTATATATATATCTATTACAGGGCCTGTATAAAGCTATTAGAATGTCTAAGATATACTCTATAGATGTATCTATACAGT